GGGCAAAATCGAGCCCGTAGGCACAGACAAAATTCCCGGGAACAGTCGAAGAGATTGTTCACTGTCAAACTCTCTGCCTCGGACGAGGTTTTGCCGCAGGGCAAAGTTTCGTCTGGGGTGGTAGACAATCCCTGAACCCGTCTAGGTGGTTCAAAGGGAATATATTTGGTCGACCCTACGGGCTCGGAGAAACCCATGTTAAACTCGGCCTTGTGCCACATACATTCCTTGTGGGGGGACTGTTAAATATAACAGACAAAATTCCCTGTTGCCACCGTATACACGGGATCGGGTAGCTGTCAACCACCCCAGATGAGACTCTACCCTTCGGAATAGTTTCGTCTGGGTTCCTCTATGCTTGAAGGCAAATCTCCAAATAATTGCCGAAACAAGTCTTTTTTGTTCAACCGCCCCACGCGCTCAGATGTGGCACAAGGCCGAATTTAATGTGGGGTATTCGAGCCCGTAGACTCGGCCAAAAATTCCCCGTAGACCCTGTATAAAACGGGATCAAACGGGATCGGGTAGCTGTTTCCCAACACGAAATTCTGCCCTTCGACATAGTTCGAGCGCATATTTTCGCAGACGAGGCTATCTGGTTGAGTTCGCCAGATCGAGAAACGGTATCTAAGTGGTAATCCGTAAAAAAGACATTCACGTGGCATCAACTCCTCCCAAAGAGACGATATTATCGTCTATCATATTTTTTTTAAATCAGAGAAACAAAAAACACTGTTGATTGAGGCTTGTTTTGAAATTATTGTTTCAGTGTTCAAATTCTACCTTGAAATCACTGTGTTCGGACATATTTGATCTGTACTGACCTACTCAGCCATTGGTTGACTTACACCGGAAGTAGAACACTTCCTGGAATTTCTTTTGTAAAGTAAAAAACATTTCTTTCTTTTTTTAAATTCGGATACTTGCTTTAAAAGTAACGGGGTTTTAGATTTATATGTAAACTTTTATTTCTCAAATCAGCAATACTTTTGGGCAATTCAAATACGTATAGATACGTAGGTACATCAATAATTCCGTGGCCTGAAAAAATTATTTTACGAAATATATATTTATTTTTCAACATAATCTCGTCGTCAACGCATAAACTTTAGATCAAAATTCAGTTAACTCGCTATAGACTTATTGATCCACTCAAAATCAAAAAGTAACCAATCATTGGCTACATGTCTATTTCTGGCCAAAACATTACTCACTTCTGCGAAAATATGCGCTCGAAGTCGATAATACGTTCGATTGGAAAATCACTCAGCACACTATTTTTAAAGAAGACTGTTAAATAGATATGTCCTATAACATTGAAGGACAATTATATATAATTCTAAAAGGACAGATAGAATTTATGGGACGTATAATGAGAAAAAGAGGCTTGGAAAATTTGACACTCACAGGATATATTGAAGGCATGAATAGCAAAAGAAAACAGTATTCCACCTAAGGAGCTTAGATGGAAGAAATATAAAAAGAGAAGTATTTGGTAATGGCTAGAAAAAAATAAAGAGTTGTGGTGACCCATGATAGTCCACATCCCGAAAGGATACAAGCCATAGAAAGAGAAACGGGTGAAATGTGTATGCTAATATTTGGTTGGCTGAAAGGCTTTCAGCGTGACCCACTTTTTTGCTGTTTCAATTTTGCCCCAAGCAAGGAAATAAAGCCACTAAGGTGCAATGGGTTACTGAGCGTGAAAGAATATGAGAAAAACGCTATTAAAGAGAGAGAGAGAGCAATAAAAGAACTAGAATTAAGACAAATGATGACGACTGATATTGCATTTATATTTTTTTAAGATCAAAGTTGAGTGAGAAGCAAGAAGCCGGAAGAGAGTTCAACAAGCGAGAAGTACAATAGAAGAAACTGTTAGTATAGAACTTACTCTTACATCTAGTCATTTCCTCTGTAAAATGATGAGACAATACCGCCAATCTAGTACCACGCTTAAATTCATAAAATCTAGGTACCATAGAGGAAAATTATATTTATTTTATAATATAAAAATGTCGCACAAGACCAAAAGGGTTAATAGGGAAAGGCTGGTTTTCAATTTGTATTACCTTAAATTTAGCTAGACATGGCTACTGACCCATCCATTCCTCAGTATTCCTTACAAGAAAACAATACATTCATACTTACCATTCTTACAACAGTCACCATAATACCTCAAAGTCTCTATCTAGTCTTAACTAGTTCCTATATATACCATTGAGGAAATTTCACCAGAACAATTTCTATGAAAGTAGTTATACATAATGCACAGGGAAGCTACTTTAAAGCTGTGGGAAAGCTACTGCAGCCGAGATATCAGGTCAGGACCAATAACATTGCAGACTCTTTGTATTTTATCAAGAATCTCTAAATATATAGCAGAGACACCAGACAATATGTGGCAGCAAGAACGAATGGTAGACTTATAAATATGTATTATAAATCCCAAAATCTAATCAAAGGGTCAAGTATTACTTTTTTTTTTCTTTTTTTTTTTCTCATCTCATGCTGGTTGAACTGAGATCTTTTCAAAAATAACCTCAAATGGGATGGAGGTAGTGCTGGTAATAATCCACATAAACTTTCCTTTTACTCTTGGTTAGTTACAAATATGTATATCTACGAAGTTACGCATCGGCTTTAAGCACATCAAACGGGGACCAGCGAACCGAGTTCGATCTGAGAATGCTAATTTTCAATTGTCATTGAAATTCGTGGAGAAGGCATGGATCCACTTTTGCCTGCATCACCAAATATCTTAGCAAATATCTCGTCACTGGCATGAAAGAGGTGAGCGAGCACTTAAAAACCCCATTCGAGTAGGCAGTAACAATTACTTGACAGGGAACAATGGCTGTTAGATTGTGGGTGGATGAGTGCTGACGCAGTGGTGGCCTTTGTAACGGAGGTGAAAAGAATAGGTTTTGACGTTTTTAATGAAAGTACTGATCGGTAGGTGTTATCTGTTGTCTGCCTTATACCTATATACATTTTTATTACTTCAAACGTTATTGTAGCGGATACTCGTATATTAAATAGACACCCCATTAATTTTTTAGAAATATATATATATATATATATATATATATATATATATATATATATATATGTGTGTGTGTGTGTATATATATATATATATATATATATATATATATATAACCTGGGACGATGAGAACAAATAGAGAGCAGTTCCAACGTTCGTAACATTTAATTTAAAAGATTTCAAAGAGGGCTGTAAACAGAGTAGAGCAAATGTATGTATGTATTTCTATTATTTCAAACATTACTTTTAGTGGATACTCTTGTTTAAAATAGACGTCTCATTTTTTTTTTTTTTGCTTTTTTTGTTTGTTTTTTGTTTTTTGTTTTTTGTTTGTTTTGTTTTAAACAGTGTGCGTTACGCCTTAATAGAAAAGTAAAAAAAAAAAAAAAAACTTAATAATAGCTTATGGATACGTGGCTGAGTGGTTACAACGTTCGAATCTCACCAGGGCCGATTTGTCAAGAAAATGATATCCTGACGTTATCTGTCTGGAGGTGGTGATCCCAGCGTGCGGCATCTTTGAATCGTGCTTGAAAACCATACCATGTCCCAAGCCTTGTGAGTGAAATTGTGTAAACGGAATCGAAGTCACCTTGCTGGGCTTGTTTGGACTGTTGATCACGCTAGATAACGCGCTATCTCGGCATAGTTGCAGTATAAACCACAATGTAGGCGTTCAACAAACACGAATGTACCTGAGCGGGCGTCTGCATTAGCTAGCCGCCCTAGTAGACTGGTATCCTCGGTATTCGAGTGGCCAGCCATTATATACGTATTTCTATTGACACTTTTCGAATCCTCTGCCACCAGATTGACAGCCAACACTCGTATTGTAGCTTCCGAATGCCAAGCAGTACTGACGTTTCCAGATTTCTGGTGGCGTTAATTGCGACATGGTTGTCTTTTTCTCACATACGGTGCCCAACTGACACAGTTTACCCAACTAAACTATGCAGTCGACAAAATCCTAAACAAACAACGCGCTTGCGCGAAATAAAAATTATAAAATTGCGACAATTTACCCATCGCGCCCTCTGTGTGCGTTTATATATATATATATATATATATATATATATATATATATTATGGTCCAGGTTAGGACCAAGGAAGAACAACACGAACACAAGAGTAGAAATAACGAAGGTATATTACACGAAATAATAATACAAGATGTGGAAGGTGTCAGTATGACTGTCAGTCTGGTTTGGAGTGAACTACTATCGGCTCGACTCGATTCGACCCTCTCTCTTGAAAGGCGTAGTGTACATAGTTAAGAAGAGTTCATTCCGTAGTTATAGGTAAGGACCCATGACATATATATATATATATATATATATATATATATATATAGTTGAATTTCCAGGTCTTTTATATATACAGGCTCTGTTACAAATACCTTCACAGACACAGAACTTTGATTAAAAAAGGATGTCAATTTTTTCATTATATTTTTACAATTTTCGGATAACTTGTTGAGTATTGCGTTTGAAGTTGTGGATAAACTATCCGAAGTTCATATTTTTTTTTTTAAATTTTACTCAATTACAACGTAGTCATTATGGAGAATGAAATTGGTGTCTGTGTGTTAATTACAATTCCTTTGTCTACATCCTGGTATTCTTGGGAAAGTTTGAAATAGTTTGACGTGACGTCATGTGTAACTGTATTTGCTGCTTAAAAATATCTTATTCATTTACACACACACACACACACACATATATATATATATATATATATATATATATATATATATATATATATATCAGACAGTTCGTGTCCGTATCCACCAGTGTGTGGTATATAATAGATTTTGTTTGTTTGAGAGTGTGCATGCGCGTGTGTTTGTGTCGCTTAAACTCATGCGTGTAATATCAATATACATGCACACACACGCATGTATATATATATATATATATATATATAGATAGATAGATAGATAGATAGATAGATATGCTCACGCGCACACATATATATAGAAAGAGAGAAAGCGGAGATAGATAGATAGATAGATAGATAGATAGATAGATAGATAGATAGATAGATAGATATTGCGCTTCATCGTTATATATATTCGTTTATATATCAGTTTGCTTGTATCTATCACTCAATCTACATGTGGTGTACGTGTGTGGATAGGGGTTAAACTCCTACTTGTTGATATCGATCGTCATTGTAAGATATAAGTAAATGTGTGTCTTTTGCCAGATTTAAATTTAGATATCTTCGTTCAAGAAATCGAGTGTTTCCTACACAGGACGGGGGCAAAGGTCAAAACCTCAGACCTCTGCTTTAACTCTTTGATTACAACAGCAACTCTGGCGATTTATTTCTACGCTCAATAAATAATTTCTCCATAAACTAAATGCAATGAAATCTATATCTGTCCTCACGTGCATAGGCGCATGCGCATTCGATCGGGTGTCTGGCCGTGGCGGCTATTGAAGTCGTACAAGACTATTGACAAGAAAATTTTCTCCGGTGTATTGACCAGTCACGCTAACATACAATCTACTAATCTAAACCATTCTGTCCGACCGTCTCAGTTGGAATGAACAGAATGTTGCTCTGTCAGATGGACAAACAAATAGCCAGAGCGGACAGTTAACAAACATTTACGCGCGTGCGTGCACACAAACACTCATACACACACACACACACACACACAAATACACACACAAACACACACAGAAATACAGTATATTTTTATAAACGCGATTATGTACTCTCACACGCACATATTTCTTGTCTCCTATCTACCCATTCAATTTCTTGTCGTACCCAGCTATGCATAAATAGAAAATAAAATGAATTATATATATATATATATATATATATATATATATATATATAAGGCAGGATGTGTGTGTGTGTGTGTGTGTGTGTGTGTGTGTGTGTGTGTGTAAAGAATGCACGGCCGCAATTTTCGACGGATTTGCACCAAAATTTACATGCACATGCTCCAAGTTAGCGGGAAGGCCAAGACCGACCTTGCATTTCCCAACTCCCATCGATAGTGGAAATAATCGATTTTTTCATGCTTCTAGGGCAGTTTTCATGTAGTTTGGGGCCATTTTGTACTGGCCAGAGTGAGAGCCAATAGCTGGCTGCCACGAATAGGCAGGAAGATTCTATTGGCCAGCGCCAGAGCCAACAGCAATATATATATATATATATATGTGTGTGTGTGTGTGTGTGTGTGTCTTTGTGTGTGTGTGTGTGTCTTTGTGTGTGTCTGTGTGTGTGTACATTCTTTGTAAAATTGAATGTTTTTTCTGAATCTGACAATGTTACTTTGTTGGCTGCGGAGTCGTGTAATTTTTGTATTTATTGTGTATTTTGGCAGCAATCCATCTTTTATACAAGTTTCGTTACAAATGACTGATAATATTTATTTGTCGTTGTTATTAAATATTGGATTTCATTTTAAGCTATTGCGATTTGTCATAAAACAACAATTCTGAATAAATTAAAAAAAAAAAACATAACCGCAGTACTTTGTCAATCATTTTTAACAAAACGAATATATATATAAATATATATATATATATATATATATATATATAAAAGCAGGATGTGTGTGTGTGTAACGAATGCACGGCCGCAATTTTCGACGGATTTGAACCAAAATTTATATGCACATGCTCCAAGGCAAATAAATAAAGGCCAAGACCGACTATGCATTTCCCAACTCCATCGATAGTGGAAATAATCAATTTTTCATGCTTCTACGGCAGTTTTCATGTAGTTTGCGGCCATTTTCTACTGGCCAGAGTGAGAGCCAATAGCTGGTTGACACGAATAGGCAGGAAGATTCTATTGGCCAGCGTCACAGCCAACAGCTGACTGACACGAATGTTAACTAGCATGCTTGCATGCAAAAAAATCGATAGCTGCATTCGTCACAAGTGGGAAAAATTGAAATCTGCATGGCACTTTACTCCAATTGGCTCATTCGCTTGCTTAAACTCAACGTTGATTCTGATTACGCAGAACTGGGTTGGGTGTGAAAAAGTATTTGTTAACATTCTTTTTTCATTCGGTTTTTCCAGTTACGATTACTTTTTTTAAGCTGATCGTTTTGTGTTCATTTTGTTTAGTTCTTTTTTCGTAACAGATTTAATGTTTAGTATAGAGCTTAGAAAAAGAATGCAGTGTGAGATAGGCAAGAAGTAAGGCATGTAGTAACATCGGCACGGCAAAGGGCACTCCTTTAAAGGCAAGGAAGGGCAAAAATATTTTAAGTCAAGTGATAAAAGAATACATTTTTCGTGGAATTTAAATATTTATTCCCTAGTAAAAACATAGTGGTAAGGGAGATAAAACAGTATATGGAAGTATATTTATGTGTAGTTAATTTCACTTCGTAATGTTAATAATCTATTGAAAATAAAGTGTCTGTATATATATATTTTTCGGCCTGTTTCTATAGACTCAGAAACTACTGGATGGGTTTCAATCAAATTTGACATAGAGACGGGCTATAACTCCAGCAGTGTTTTAGGATATATAAAGTAAACTCGGACTTCAGTACAATGAAAGGTCGAAAATAAAATCAAAGAAGACATTTTTCGTAGAATTTAAATAGTTATTCACTCGTAAAGAAATATGCTGGTACGAGAGGTAAATCAGTAAATTGACCACTAGTTATTTGCCCTAGAAATTTTAAAAATCTATACAAATAAACTGAAGTGTCTGTTTTTTTATTTAGACAAAATTAGTTCCCGAGCAACAATGGGTAACTTTACTAGTACTTAATAATACTCAGTGCCATTCTGAAGGGTAGCGGTTAGCAATCTCGTCTAGTATACCATTGCTACCGTGTTGTAAGTTTATTTAAACTACGCGTTTTCCACCTGTGTCTTTGTGCCTTTCTAAGCAAAGCTTAGCAGTTTTGTTTTTAACCAATTTAAACCCATGCAATGCGGTATAGCATCTAAAGGGTTACTGTGGAAGAATTAAGAACGGAAACATTATTAATGAGCAGGAAGAGAAAGGATTAAACAGGAAGAGAGTTGATTGCGATTGACATTGAACTTCAATTTTTACAGATTAAATTTGGCAGGAAAGCATGTAGCCGAAAAGGACTTCCACAAGCGAGACATGCGAGAAAAATACCTATACTTGAAATACATAGTAAATACCTATAGAAAAAGAAAGTTAATAGAAAAAAAAAATGGAATTAAAATGATCATTTGTAGATATAAGTTTTATTTCTCAACATAATAAGAAATTATGCAAGCAATGACACCAGTCATTTATACAGTTCTAGAAGTGAGTGGTTTATGAAACATGAACCATGTCAAATCAGGCTTTTTTAAACGATATTTAAAAAGAAAAACGGCTGGCCACTCCTATCCGAGTATGCCCGTCCAGTGTGGCAGTTAGCCAATGCCTGTTGCAGACGCCTACTCAGGCACATTTGCGCTCATAACTGCAACTATGTTTTGAGCGGACCTTACCGTTTCTGGGAGAGAGTGCGTCATAAATAGTCTAAACCAGGACAGCACACTCAAACTCAAATAAAAAAACAGACACTTCAGTTTATTTGTATAGATTTTTTTAAATTTCTAGGGCAAATAACTAGTGGTTAATTTACTGTTTTACCTCTCTTACCACCATATTTCTTTACGAGGGAATAACTATTTAAATTCCACGAAAATTATTGTTAAATTAGGACTGTAAGATAGTAATGTTCCTTGTTTGTTGAGAGGGATAGGCAGAGTCAATGTCGTGGTAAAAAGAAAGGATTTACTGATGAAGTTTTCCATTTCTTTGTTCGCTAAATATTTAACAAATTTCCTTAAAATATTTCCGTAATAAGCCGATGTTACTGTCTTTTTCCACTCTTAAAAGGTCAATTAGAAAAATTGCCCACAGCATCCCAGAAAACTGTCGCCATGAATCTTCCTACGGGCTAGCTTGTTTTTGTTTTGATTTGACACTTTCCACCATTTCTTTGACTGAGTTTTGTTTTCAGGATTGTACTGGTAAAGTCAAATTTCATCACTAATTACAATTCTCGTGAGAAAATCTTCAGGAATTTAATACATTTTTTTAAAAAATTATCATTAAAATTCCACTCTTGTCTGTTGCTGATCTGGGCACAAAGGTTTTGGTGCCCAACGAGAAAAAAGTTTAAATATAATTCTTCAAATAAAATGTTGTAGGCTGAACCAACTGAGATATCTATGGTATTAGCTATCATTTCTCCTGTTAATTGTTGGTCGTCCTCCATTAGATATCTAACAGCATCGATTTTCTTCCTCAAAAACTTATATTGATGATCAGTTCGCCATCTTCAACTCTGTCTGGTTCGTCATTGAAACGAGTTATCCATTCATAAATTGTTGATGTTTGGAGGGGGGAATTATCTTCATAGACTTTTCCAAAAGCACTACTAACGTCCTCCGTCTTCCAAACAAGTTTTATCATAAATTTGACGTTAGTTTCTACTTCAACAATATTCATGTTGCTTTAAAGAAGGCTGACATAAACTTCAGTGTATTACCCGTAAATAGTTCCGTTCATACGAAAATTTAAATATCTGGAAAGTGTTTTAATAGAGGACATAAAATGTGACACCGAAATCCGAATATGCATTGCAATAGCTAAACAAATTACTAAGACACAGGAAAATTTCGTTAGAAACAAAGAAAAGATTGAACTTAGATATGGCAGCGAACGTTAGACAGTCTTCTCAGAGATGAAGAACAAACTTGAGGCAACAATGTAGTTCTTACACCCTTTTCTAGTATTTATTTTTTTTTATACTTACTAAATTCATTTTCTATCCGTATGCCGGCGGTTTGATGACATTATAGGTTCTGGATTATTCTAATATCCTTCTCTCAAATATGCGAGTAACGAGGAAATTGGAAACAGATAGGATGCTTAAAATCAGAAAGAGACAGTTTATAGTTCTGAGACTCGTATTGAGGAAAGAGGGTTTGGAGAAATTAACACTCAGAGGATATATTAAAAGCAAGAGAGACAGATGGAAATAGTGCGTAACTAACGTAACTTTTTCTTCAATGTGCCGTGGCCTTTGATGTC